CTTAGGACATGAAAAGTTGCTTCCATTATATGTAATTGTAAAAAATGTCCATAAAAACTGCAAAACAAAATGTGAAACCTCAAATTTGTATTTATATCTCTATGGACCCAACAAACCTTCATTACAAATCAATGGGTAAAGTAGTGGTAAAAAATGCAAAACTGAAAATTTTTATGTATCTCTCCATTGGACCCAATGAACCTTCATGCCAAATTTGGTGAAGAACCATCCACAGTAGGTGAGGTAGTGGTAAAAAATGCAAAAATGCCCATAAAATTGCAAAATTCAAAACTGAAAGTTTGTATGTATCTTCCCATGGACTCAACAAACTTTCCTGCTAAATTTGGTGAAGAACCATCCACAGGAGGTGAGGTAGTGGTAAAAAATGCAAACATGCCCATAAAAACTGCCAATGCAAAACTGAAAATTTGTATGCATCCCTGCATGGACCTAATGAACCTCCATACCAATTTTGGTGAAGATCCATCTGAACTTTGTGAAGTAGTTATGTACAACAGCCAGTAAAATTATACTTATATAGATTTGAAATAAATATTTTTAGTTCAAAAGTATCCAATTTTATATCTTGTACTCCCTTATTTGTAATGTGTAAATTGCACTTGAATATTAATTTGTGCTTTATTTTCAATTAATTTGTTTTTCCTCTTTCAAAAAGGTACAGACCTTCAAAAGAACAGTTTCCTATTGTAGTTAGTCAAGATTGTGGTCATGAACCCACTACAAAAGTTATACAGTCTTATGGGGATCAACTTACTCTTATACGGGTAAGAGCAGCATTAATATTTACTGATTATATTTTAAAAAATTAAAATCAACTTACAGTAAGTTTTCTTTTTTTTTTCATATTTGTCTTGCAGATGGCATTGTTATTGGTTGTGATGGTGAAACAGAAAGATAGAACATCATACAATGCAGCATTGTTGTGTTATATCTTATGATGATATACTTAGTCCCAAAATGACTTACACTTTTAATTAATGTATTTTTAAAATTTGATAAGGTAAAACCACTGACTTTTTTCTCACTTGGAAAATTAAATTTTGTGTTATGAGTGTAACATGTAAGGAGTTGAATACTTACTTAATATTCTAAAAGTAGATTCCTACAGTATATTTAAAAATTGCATGGAATGAGGCTGTTATATCAAGAGCAAACAGCAGAAAGAATGAAACAAAACTGGAAGATTATTTTATTGATAGAAACAGCAAATTAATAAATCTGAAATAATATAGATTTGGCGTAAATTAATAGATAATGTTTGTTAATGCATCTTTGGAGACCACTGGTTTACAGTAGTTCCTGATAGAGCATTCAACCAGAAACTTCTGATTCATTAAGTGCCTTGCCAAAGTCTGTGGTCCTATTGTGTGCTTATAGAGAGACAAAAGCTTTATATAACAAATTTTATACAAGGTGTGAAATTTTGGAAAAGTTATGGAAGTTCCATTTTCCAGGACCTAAAAAAAAAGTGTGGAAAATGCATATATTGTGAAAAAGCATGAAAAATTCAAAGACAAAGAAACTAATATAAAAATCTTTGTCAGCATTTAAAAACATTGCAATACAACTGCACTGCATTATTAATGGTGTCAACTGAATGTGGTAATGTCTTCTGTGCAGGCATAATCACAAACTTCCAATCACAACATAAAATGAATTACACATTTACAAAGTCTTTCCAGTTTTTTTTTTTTTAATGTACTGATATTCAAAACATTGTCATTTCAAGTTATACACATAAATATAAGCCATGTATTGCAGTATATATTATTTTTGTTTATTGTATTAGGTATCAGTTTCTCATTCGTGACCAAAAATTAACACGTTGATTATGGAATTATTAGAAAATATTTGGCAGCTAAAGTTTTTTTAACATCCCAAAAATGAGGTTTGTAATCATGGCAAGCAGTCTGATTGGTTCAAGTCTTCTGCACATTGTGATAACCTCAAACTTTTCTACGTCACTCATTTTGAATTGTTTATATTACATAAGTTTTTAAGAGACATTCTTAATCATGAAAAACATTATATGCTTGATGTTAGGAGGTAATAGTTGTTCTGCCATTTCATGCTTTCTGTCTTTAGCAATGTTTAAAATACAGGCATATTAAGACTAATGTTACATGAAAATAGTAATTTTGCATGATAATAATATCTTACATTTTCATTTTGTTGAATAGTTTAACGTAATACTTATTATTTATAGATCTAGACATTTTTTCCATGTTCCATGTAATCCTGCTATTGACATGTTAAAATGTATGTTAAGGGTCTTAAAATTCTCAATGTTGAATAAGAATTACACTTGGCTAGTGACATGTGATTAATAAATAGGTAGATTTTGAATTACACTTTCATAAAAGTAAATGTATTAAATACATAAGTTTTCTGTTTCTTTAGTAAGGAATGCATAAGAAAATAGAGATTCCATTTAACTAAATAATAAAATGTGTAGCTGTAATAAACAATATTTGCTGAATCAAAATAATGTTGTGCCAGACATATTTTCTGACAACTGTAAAATTATTTCCACTAATATCTGGAATTTCTGATAAATACATTAACAAGTATACAGTTAATAGGTATCACCTGTCGTAAAAGATACATTGTGATTTAGTAAAATTTTCATATTTTTGGCTTCAAAGTACTGTTTCTGAGTTTTTCTTTGGTGACTTCATGATTATTTATTTTTATTTTTCAGCAACCAGATCAGAGTGACATTCCATTGGTTGGAAAAGAGAAAAAGTTTAAAGGATATTACAAGATAGCCAGACATTATGGCTGGGCTCTTAATAAAACATTTCATGGTTTTAATTATGATACAATGATAATAGTTGAAGGTAAGCATTATAAAAATCTGATCTTCTTCATCTTAGTATCAAGGCTTAATAAAAAATAACCTGAAAAGCCATATATATATATATATATGGTATATAGCACTTCTCCAAATATGTAGTGTAGGTTATCTGTTATTCAGCATAAAAATGTGGTAGTCATAAACAACAAGGCAATAGCCTTGCACCACTGGTTTGTTCAATTAGCTCTTCCTTAAGTAAATAAATATATTTTTGGAGTCAGTGTTATATTTTTTATAATGTTATCATTGAGGTTTAACTTTTCTCAGCCATAATAAATAAACTGTTTTTCTTTTATTAAGTATTAATTTTAACATTTAATTAAATGAAAGATTTCAATATATAGATATTTGAAGATAAATCATATTTTGATCAAATAGGCTTAACCTTATCGACACGGGTCAAAGGCCATGTCATCTCGTTTGTTGACTTGTATTCAAATGTATATATACAACCTAAAAAAATATTTTCATTTCATATCCTCCGTGTGAAAAATTAAATTTTAATTGGCTTAACAACCTATGTCAAACAGCAACCAAGT